CTCGTTGGTGTCGGGCAGAGTAGAGTAACGATGCATGAATGTGTGTGTGTGTGTGTGTGTGTATGTGTCGCGTGCTAGTCGAGACAAACAGGGTTGCTATTTATAATGCTGTCGTGTGACCTGTATGCTGCACAGGCCGTGTGTCTCCTGGGCATTGCTAACAACAGTCCGGCAGTCACTCGTGGCTCGTGGGCTGAGCAACTGGTGACTTGTGGACTGCTCTCGAACGGACTCCCCTGTGTTTGTTTTCGCCGGCTTCACACGTGCTCTGGTTTGAACATTTCGGACTTGTTTCCGTGTAATGCGCGCGAATCTAGTGTGATTGGTAGCGTTTAGTTAAGTTTTAGTAAGAGTTTCACGGTACTTGCTACACAATTAGGTAATATAGGTGCCGAAGATACGGGGTGTTACTAGATAACAGCACACAAAGCAAAAGAGGAGAGATAAGGATAATATATGTGTGAAGGAGTAAACCACACCAGAGCATCCGCCAGCCAGCCACGGTTTATAGCGTTCATCTTTGTACCGTATTATGATAGGGTATTGTACATTACAGTCATATTATTATGTTTCATGTAGCGAATGGTCAGCCAATGCTTTTGTGTGGTGCCTAGTATCAAACATCTCTCTTTCTTAACCCTTTATGTTCTTTGTACGTTACTCTTGTAACACCTCTTAACATCGGCACATGTTTGACCTGATTGCGCTACATGTGATGTAAAACTGACTAAAACCAACACGGGTATTACGAATAAGGGTTCTGATTGGTTTATGGATGTTGTTTTTATGAGTTTTTGGCCTGTGAGTGTTCTGTTTTGACCGTTACTGGTTCGTGTGACGTTTTATTCGATTACCCAGTTGACGAATGGGCAACTGGGATTGTCTGATTTGTTACGTCTGTCCATCCACTTATGTTGGTCTTTTGGAGGTCGTATTTGTGTCTGTTAGTAAAAGTTTTATGGCGCCAACAACTGCTTAAAAGGTCATGTGAGCGCGCGAGACACAAGTTGGTTGTGTTCGTATGAGTTCCCAGCACGGTTAGGTTTTTACTTTGAAAGTTACAACGTTTGAAGTACTTGTAGCTAAAGATACGTTGTTCAAATTCATGTACACGTGTATAATGTGATAGTTAAGTGGGAACACACACCCGTTTTAAAGGGTATTTCTTTTAACGTACGATGCCAAGTGTTGGGTGTCGTAGTCTGTGCAGGTAGTGTGGATGGTTGGAGTGCGGCCCCTGGAGGCGTACTTTGTCTCACTTTTTCTCGTGTGTCGGGATAGATCTGTGTCCTTTGGGTATTGTCTGTGGTATTGACTGTTTAACTGACAGATTTGTAGACGTGAACTCCCCATCGATAAAATAATTGATATTATGAGCATTTATCAGTTCTTAGGGAGCAGATGACCAGTTGGCTGTCGCTTTTGTGTTGCTGTTTTAATAGGTTTGTTTTTGTTTTGGGGTTTGCTTGTTTTTTATTTATTTTGGAGGGGGTGTTTATTCCTTTTTTACTTTTTTTTTCAAAGGAAGAAGGTAGTGTTATGCTTTTTTGTTTTCCTTATCCAGCACTGAGGGTGTGACGGCGGAGTGGTTAGTGCCCTCGTCTCTGAAGCGGAAAGTCCGGGTTCGAGCCTCGGTTCGGACACGGTTTTTCTTTCGCCCCATCCTTCCCACCTAGCAGTTATGGGTACCTGACTTTGAGTTGGGGAAGTAAAGGCGGCGTGGGAAGGAACTGGCCACCTTACCACATTTTGCTGAAGGCCCAGGAAGTTGTCTCACTAACAAGGCAATCCCCAATAACAACTTTTTTATCCAACACTTAGTTATTTTTGTCTGATTCTGTTATGCCAGTTTGTTATCTTTATCTGAACTGGGACGCTTTTCTTTAAGAAGTCTCACGTTTTTTAAAAATAAAATGTTTATCCGTAACGTCAACATAGTAGCAGCCGTGTATTCTTGCACTTGACGTTCCTGATAAGATAACACTGTAATTAACCGTGTATATTCGACCCGGCGGGTGGGTGGAGGGCACCACTGATAGGCAGGCCCTAGTTCTTTTTCTTTCCCTGTGTTGTTGGGTTTTTCCCCCCCTCTCTGTCTGTTGTACTTCTCCCGATCTGCTAAATGATACATTATTGTTTTGATGTTCAGCTTTTCTTTTCTCTATACTCATACAAACATAATAATGTTCGTCCCAGAAATTAGTCATAGGCCTAGACGTATTATGTAACAAGCTGGCACGAGAAATCGTGAAACGTGGAAAGTGTGTAGACGTAGGGATGGTTGGAAGGTGTATCTTATAGGTTCTGCTGTGGTGTTGTTTGCCCTCTCTTTCCAATCAAACATCAGATCGTCCTTAACTTTCCTCCTTTTGTGGGTGGTTGGCGGGTGCTCTTGTGTGGTTTGCTTCTTCTTTCCTGTCAAACATCTATAGTCTTTATCTCCTCTCCTTCTTTTTTTA